GTTTGTAGGCGGTTAACGTAGTGCACGGGAACCGATAACCGATTGTATCTTGGGAATCAAACACCGATCGAAACCTCGTGTACTCCGGTGAGGCGGCGAATTCGATTTAAGGAAACCGTGTAAACACAGGCCTTCGGTTTGATTAATAAACTTTGATTCTCCGATTATTTCCCTACAAATGTGTGGTTGGAAATAATTTTTTAAAAAAATGAAAATAAAGTTAGAAAAATCTGTGCTAAACTCTTATCATATTCCAAATGATGGCATCCCAAATGATGCTTGTTTGGTTAAATTTATGTCAATCTTTCAGCATGCCTTGTTTAGTGAAGGGAAATTTGCAGCGGAGGTCATAAATCTTACAAAATAGTGCAGATTACATTCAAATCTTTGAATCGTGGAAATAATCCTCAACCCTTCCAAAACTATGCTGTGGAAGGACTTCTAAATGGTTTGCGTCCAAAAATCTGTTGGTTGACCAAAAGTCAGGGTAGGATCATAATATGACTAATTTTTTTTTAAAAATGGGTCAAAATGGTGTATTACCTTTAATTATTTTGAAAAGTGGTAACATGCAGAAGATGTTTCGAACTTTTAAAAACAGTGCTGCGCAGTCCCAAACTTTTAATAAATGTACATTGAAAAGACTTCTAATTATTTCCATCCAAAAACTATCAGTTGACTAAAAATATTCATCTTCCTCGATCCACCAAATCTCCACCCCTAATTTCTAATCCACCTATGGCACAAACCTCCCCTACCTTAGCTGGTAAACCTCACAACAACCACCTCTACACGAGTTATAATCACAACATTGTTAGCTACTGCCACCTCCTTATTTCATCTACATCTTCCAACTTCATTTCCACATCTCCATCAACTACATTTCCTCTTAACAAGAGCATTTAAAGAACTGGGAAGAAATAAAAAATATAGATAAACTTTCTTCAAAACTAAGAGTAGCAATAGTGACGAAGGCTTCCCACCTACCAATGGGTCGAGTTAGGTGGGTTAGAGATTAGGTGTTAGGGATTGGGTGGATTGGGGAAGATGAATGTTTTTAATTGAATGACAAATTTTTGTATGGAAGCAGTTTAGGTCCTTTCGGCGCACATTTATAAAAGATTTGGGACTGCACTGCACATTTTTTTAAAGAACGGGACTCCATATGCAAATTATTCTTTTTAATTATTCAAATTATGTTCACACATTGACTTTTGATCAACTAACAGACTTTTGGATGGAAACCATTTAGAGATCCTTTCGCCACACAATTTTGAAAGGTTTTGGCTTTCTACTATAATTTAAAGATTTGGGTGTAATCTTTACTATTTTAAAGAATTTGAGACCTCTGTTGCAAATTTACCTTTAGTCAATTTGTGTGCATTGTCATGTATTTACTTTTATGTTCCTGGATTTTTCAAAGAGATGTGACAAGGACTATATGTAATAACCTTTGGACTTATTAAATGATGTGAATCTCTTATCAAGTTTGGTCAATACCTAATATATCTATGATTCAATAATAATTTGGACATTTTATAAAGAGAAAATTGCAGCCGCCATCCCCAATGACTGGATCTTTTACACTTTTATCCTCAGTCTTTTATAATTTGATACATTTATCCCTAATCTTTTATTTTCTTTTTGAAAAAATTCGTTAAGTTGATCATGTCGACTTGGATAGAAGATATGAGGGTTGAAACACTATTAAAACCCACCCGTGCTACTCTAATGTCATCTTCCTCAAATAAGACACCAATTAATGTTGACTAAAAACTACTTTACCAAATTAAAAATGGCGACTGGAATTCAGTATGAGATAAGAGATATATTCCGACTTCCAAGCGCTAATTGCTTGCATGATGAAATTTTCAATTATTTTCATATATAAATGCATTTGAGAAACGTTTGAGTGAGGAGATGCTTCAAGTTCCATAGTAACATATGGGGGTGGTTTTGTTGAAGGGAATACAAACAATTCAGAAATTGAATTCCATTTTCTTCTTTCTAGAAATCTTGTTTACAAAGTCAGATGGAGAATGGTTGGTATGTCTCTATTAATTTAGTTTATACCAAATTAAAAGTAGAGTCACGTAAGAGATGACATAAGATAAAAGAGGCTTGTCACTAGTAAAAATAAATAGTACTAATTATTAACTAACACGTCGCGTGGTTGTCAGCTGACTATGTCAATGCTGCCAACTAAGCAATATGCCACGTGAGCCTACTCCGAGGTGATGGAGAGCCATCAGTGACCCATGAAGGCCTCGAAGTGCCTGCATCCATGGCAACCCCAAGGCCTATCTATAGACATGCAATGGCCTTGGATACCACACCATTCGAGCTCTTCAAACATGAATTAGCCTCGCCCCTCAATTCTCTCCGACTTGATCACGTGGACTCAATCCTTAGTCGCAAAATGCATCTCTTAAGATTGATTAGGTTGGGGACGACCCCAGATGCCTTGTGCAAGGATTTTACTCCTTCTACAAAACTATTTGTTCTGTAAATTTTACATATACTCACATGTGGTGGGCCCCATGTGAATAAAATATTATTATAAAAAATGGGGTCCAACCCAATGTGTCTTATCTGTTGTTTTTACGGATGAAATTCTTCTGTAACAGTAGCATGATTCCTTGTGCAACTAGCTGTGTCCAGGAGCGGAGCCAGGATTTAATGGTACGGGGGGAGGGGGGGAGGGCGGGAGGGGCAGGGGGGAATTTTCAACAGTGGGCTACTGGGCTTGAACGATGAAAAAAAATGGGTATAACCAAAAAAGAAATTTTTTTTTTAAAGGGGGTGGGCATGGACAAAGGTGGGCTACAGCCCACCCCTACCTTCGCCAATGGCTGTGTCAGATACATAAGCAATGAAGATTGATTGATTTGACATCTTGCGATGGCGGCTTGGGCGGGGGGAGACTGTCGCAAGCCTGTGATAGGTGTCATACACCTATGATTGCTGGCAAATCACACATGTTAGTGACCGTGAGCGTTAGATTTGAGCCATGTGTCATGCATGCAGTAGGACTCACCCACTCGCCCTCGGCCAATAAATATCTAGCTTTGGAGACATTTGAAGATAATTGAAATATCGATATTTGAAGTCCAAATTCTCTGTTACAATTTTGGTTTTTCTAGATAAAACCTAGCACCAAAATTCCAGTCTTCGAGTATTTCTCCCATACCCAAATTTTTATATGTTCGTTACTTGATGGACACATTAGCTTGAGCGTTGGAGTGCGTACCTTTCCTTTCAAAGAGGTGTCTACGGGTGAGGGGCTGAGCTTATGTTGACGCGCTAGAAGCCTGGAACCACTAGATTGGGATGTCACTGCCAATTCTTGTCAGTCTTGTCGCCCTTCAAAATTCATTTATAATTGCAAACAAAGAGAAAGAGAAACACGAGATGGAGAAAATAGAGCACAGGATCATACCTGTTAATGGCCTCAACATTCATGTAGCCGAGCTTGGTCAGGGCCCATTAGTGCTCTTCCTACATGGCTTCCCTGAGCTTTGGTACTCATGGCGCCACCAAATTCAGTACTTGGCGGCTCAAGGCTACAGGGCTGTGGCGCCGGATCTGAGGGGCTATGGTGACACCACTGGTGCACCAGTTGAGGACCCGTCAAAATTCACTATTTTTCACATGGTTGGTGACCTGATTGCGCTCCTCGATGTCATCGAGCCTGACGCAGGTAAGGTGTTTGTTGTTGGGCATGACTGGGGTGCTTCCATAGCCTGGCACTTGTGCTTGTACAGACCTGATAAGGTGAAGGCTTTGGTGAATTTGGGTGTCGCTTTTTTCCCGAGAAGTCCTGAAATGAATCCAGTGGACATGTTTCGCAGTCTATATGGGGATGATCACTATATTTGCAGATTTCAGGTACTCTATTCTGCAAACTAGTGCGTGTCAGGGGCACGACTGCCTCTAATTCCCACATTGCTCGTGGTAAGTCTGTCTTGTGAGTTCATAAGCGAGCTGGCCATTTTTCAGTTTTAAGGGTGAATTTGCTTGTAGAGGGAGAGGGAGAGAGAAGTGGACATCAATTTTATTTTGAGTATAGAATGTTGATTTTCTGCCACAACTTAGATAGTTGTTCCATGCTCACAAACAACTACTTCCAAGTCTTAGGTTGCTCATCCCGTCATTAATAGAAATGAGAAAGTCTGCCTTGGGAACGTACTGGGCATTCTCAGGTTTTAGGGCTGAGTCCTAGGTGGGTCTTGCAAATGAAGGAGACAACAATATTGAGTTTAAGCATTATAATGATTCATGAGGGCTTAATTTGATGATGGTAAACAGGCAATTATGCTTAATCTAAAGAAACATGAGGAAGAGAAATCGTGTGTGAACCTATTTGTTTCCATTTTATGTTTATTGATACCCTTTATTTAGGATCCCCTGTGAGTATGGTTCTAATAATTTGTTTTCAAGAAGAATCTGAACACAGCAAAGGGGTGTAAAGGCCAAATTAGTACAGTGGCAGTTCATGGACATGTAGAGAAATATAAGAGAAGTTCAAGAATCAAGCATATGTTATTTGTAATTGTGCCAGGTTTTGCCTTGTGAAGCTTCAATGAATAAAAATGACCTAGGTGAATCCCCCAAATCACCAGTCAGGTACTAGATGTAGCCTTTTCGTTACGAGTGAATTTGATCAAACTGAATATTGGTTGACAATTTTTCAGGAACCTGGGGATATAGAAGCTGAGTTTGCGCAGATTGGCACCAAAGAAGTTCTCAAGAACTTTTTTGCATTCCGCACTCCTGGTCCATATTATTTTCCCAAAGGCAAAGGCTTCGGAAGTTCTGCTGATAAGCCAACTTGGTTATCAGAAGAGGATTTGGAGTATTACGCCAAAAAGTTTGAGCAGACTGGATTCTCAGGAGGAGTGAATTACTACCGTGTTTTTGGCAGGTACTTGGCCTCTAGACTTCTCCAATGCCGCCTACATGCATAGTTTTGTATATCTGTACCAAAATCACAACGCAATAATGGAAAATTCTCACACCCGTTCATTATTTAAGATTTCTGATGTTACAGACAGTTGGACTGTTTTGACGCTTTTAAACTCGAAGTTCAGAGTAAAATTTTATGTTCAATCGGCTCATCCCACACTTGATTTCACAAAAATTCTTACCATACCTTGAAGCTGAATGCAGAGTGATGTTTTAGATTGACATTTCTAAATATGAATCGCAGGAACTGGGAACTGAATGCGCCGTGGTCAGGGGCTCAGGTGAATGTGCCAACAAAGTACATCGTCGGGGAATTAGACCCGACCTATCATATACCAGGGACCAAAGAATTTATACACAAAGGGGGATTCCAGAAATACGTGCCATTGTTGAAGGAAGTTGTTGTTATTGAAGGTGCAGCACACTTTATCAACCAAGAAAGGCCAGCAGAGATCAATCAACACATTTATGATTTTCTTAAGCAGTTCTAAACCCTATTGTATATGGAATTAGTTTCTTTAAGCTTATGTGCCCGCTTGTCTGTGCAAATAATTGTTAAAACTAAATGTTTGTTTGCAACAAAGATCAGCATCTCGTTTAATTATTGATGTCCATTAATTGCATGAAAAAAGTAGGATATAGTTGAGTGACCTTGAACGGTTACTTCCAATAGAAGATCGATGCCACAGAGTCATTTTAGTTATAAATGCAACATGCGAATGTCTATATTATGAGAAGAGCGGTGAAATATAATGTCTTCATTGTTCATGTTCTTGAAAATGTCCATAAATTTGGCTTGAAAGGTAAAACATTTGTAGAACAGTTGCTTAAAGAACTTTGAATGGAAACCCACAAATGTTACCCCAAAGAACTAATACTATAATATTCCAAAATCACATGAAAATCCAAATTGTCTTAGTTATATAATAAACAGATTGTATGTGTTGTAACGAAATCAGTTCGAGCTTTTGAAAGTTCTTCACATGCTTCATTATTTTCAAGCTGGTAATTCAAGAAAAGATATAAATGAAACAAGAAAATATTACAATGTCGTTTCCAGTCAGCGACCTTCAATGCTGTGCTTGGAGAGATAAAAGTCACTCAATGCTTCACTCTATGGCGTCTTTCAACATCAAAATGCATGTCCAACAGGCCAGTGATTCCAGCATCTATTTTTTGGCCTATCTTAACAGGACCAACCCCTTGAGGAGTGCCTGCATAAGAGAAGTAATGACATAATATTGCTATACAATATCACGTTTACCACAGAATATGCTATAGTAATGTTGCACTATTAGCTGTTTAGATCTACTGGTTTTTAGTCAGGGTATAAGCCAGAATAACAATGCACAAATGGGATAGAAAATATAGCATAGAGAGAGTTGAATGTAAAGATAAGATCATGTACAATGCTTCATTGTTTGACTCCAATTTAGAACTCTTGGTTGGATAAAAAAAAAAAAAAATTTTAAACTCTTGGTAACCGGCAAAATGACTCGTATTCTTCCTTCAAGTGGACACCACACGGGTGTTGACTAGAAAATGATTATGCTTACTCTTGTTTTACCCACTCTTTTCTTTCTCATTTTTCCTCTAATTTTTCGTTTTCTTTGCTAGGGAATGTGTGGGAGAGAGAATAAGAAAGAAGGTTGTAATGAGTTCAGCAATTCAATCAATGTACATTATCTCAAAATCATTATAACACCGACAAGCACTTGATTTATGGCATTAGCAAAATTATAAAATAACTAATAAGTAAAAGGACTAATCAACATTTTTTAAAAGAGACCCCTCAGAAACAGCATTAGCAAAAAGAAAGTAGCAGTTCGCCTGTGCCCTTGTACCTGTTAGAATAACGTCTCCCTCAAGAAGTGTCATGATAGAACTTATGTGGCTAATCAAATATGGAATCTTAAATATCATATCTTTTGTTGATCCTTTCTGCCGGGTTTCTCCATCAACCTGCAAGACGAACATTTATTCAAGGAACAGCCTTAAATCGTGAACATGATATGCAAGGACCTGAGCCACACCCCTAACCTTGCCAACATGGTCACAAACCGACAAAAACGCTTGGATGAAATTGACAAATAGTAGCCATCCAAGTCCTCATGAACTAGTCACAATATACTTACGCCCCACCAGGTGGCAGCCGACCCGTCCCGGCAGCGGCATCAAGACAGCACAGGCAGCACGCCGTGACAGGACGGAACTGCTTGCGGTGGCAGGTTCGTGTCCAGGTCGTGTCTGGGAAATTCGAGTGTGCAGGCAGGCAGGACGACACAGCTGCAACACAGGCAGATATCGCAAGCAAATTGCAGGCAGCACCCAGGACGTAGTCAGGACATGGCCAGACACAGACAGCAGTCATGGCATGACCAGGCAGCACAGCAACACACAGGTTGCAGGCTGCATGACATGGGCTGACACGGGCAAGACATGAGTAGTTTTTCCAGCACATCAAAGTGGTTTTCTAGGGAGAAATACCATGGGCTGTAAGCTGGATATTTTGGGACATCAAGTTCAAATTGATAACTTATGCCTCTTGCAAAAGATCTATGGCAAGGAAGAAGCAAAAATCAATTTTGCCACTATAAAAGAGACATGTCTAGTGCATGTGGGAATTGTAGAGACATACTACTTATCTTGAAGCAATTCCAACTTGGCTTCTTCATGGTCTTAGGAGGTTTAAGACAATTTGCATCCAATGAAGACCCTTGCATGAAGATTGATCTTGGCCATTGGTTCCAAGAGACTTGTTAAGATTTTGTCTATAAATAGAGATGTAGTCTCATTTGTAAATTCATTCATTGGAAGTGAAATCATTTATATACAAAGAGATTTTTCCCCAACCTTACCTGTTTCTCATATTTTCTTTACTTCAAGTACTCTACTCAAAATTATTGTAATTTAGCCTAGTTGGTTATATTACATGTGAGCGTTGAAAGGCTGACTTAACGTTTTCTTGAGAGGGTCGGGAATTTGGAACGTTAAGGCCGCATGGTTTCTAGTTCATCGAGTGTAACAAAACTAGTCCCATGACAATATTCTCCCATAAGATAGATGAGATGGAGTTAAAAACTTCATACTCAAATTTTCTATATCCTTGTTACATCTACCCACAGTCCATAACACTCAACGAATTTAAGCTTGTCCATGTGTAGGGTCCCTTTTTTGGTGCAGTCAATGCCAGGTGAATACCCTTCCTTTAATATTTGTTTTGATTATTACTTTTTTTTAACCTTCAATTTATTTATTTATTTTTGCATTGGACTCAAAGATAAGCATTGCATTAACGCAGGGCCATTGGGTTATCCAAAAATGCAGAGTCCATTTCCAAGATAGTTGGCCCTTTTTTTAATTAATAAGCCCCACCCAGCATGAGCCATGTCGCTAATGGTCTGTAAGGACCAAGCCTGAGCCACCTGTCCCATTTTTACACCCATAAGCCCAAAGAACAAGAGTGGCCTGCACCCCCTGTAAGGACTTGGTTAGATGCTCGGCTCTGCCAGCATAGTTGGTCACTAATCAACTGGCCTTAAATAAACTGACATTGACAAGTACTGACTAAAACTATCATCCCACAATCGATGTTGGATGGAGTCTTACATGCACCTTGTTGGATGCTCAGCTCTGCCAACATAGTTGGGCACTAATCAACTGGCCTTAAATACTTAAAATGACGTTGACAAGTAGTGACTAAAACTATCCTCCCATAATCGATGTTGGATGGAGTCTTACATGCA